TTCTCTTAATTAGTGAAGATAAGACTCATGGGAGTAGGTATTTGGTTTAGGTGATCAAGTTTCAATCTAAAGGTGGCAAGCTTTCAATCAAAGTGTGTTCCTTAAGTTCAAACTACTTAACTAAGCAAGTTCTAGGTCTAGACAAATGTTCATTTGCTTTCATTAATCAAACACAAATGGTCATTGGCTTAATCAATTCAATCAATCATTAAGAGTAAACTTAATAACTAGCTAATACTCCCTAAATACAAATGGTCATTGGCTAAGTGGTTTTAAAGTTAGGTGAGTTGGTTCAGACATTTAGACATACACCTTGTGGGTAGAAAATGGCTAATGATCATAATTAAAGAAGCCAACAATAATCAAGCATTAAAATCACTCAACTAACAAAGAAACACCTAAATCTAACACCTAACACCTTAGATCTACACTTAATCACCCTTACCAACCTATCCCATGAATCTAAAATGGATCTACTCACTAATACACATGATTAACCTAACAACAATGGTTGATTGTTGGTTAAACATGATTAGAGATCAAGATTACTCAATAAACTTAAGGAAATAAGATGAAAAGAATATAAAGTTATGATCTTTCACCAAATAAGTACTTAGTTTTTGAGAGAATACAAGATAATTCTTAAGATTAGGTCTCAAAAATATATATAGTAGTCTAATCTCGACCTTACAATTAGGTAAAACTCTGGTCAAATCTCGAATGTTGACTTCTGAACACGCGTAGCAGCTTACAGACACTGCTACATGATCCTGCTATCAGCTCGCAGCAGTGTCCTACACGTCGTTTGGCTGCTGCACCTTCCGGATATCGGGCAGAGAGGGAAGTGTTTCACTAGTGGCCTTGCCTTGCCGCTACACTTAGCCGCTACAATCTCCAAGTGGTTATGGACGATGTCATTAGGCCGCTACTGCCGACATTAAGCCGCTACCACACTTGAAAATTCCTTTTCAAATTCGAAAACCACAAATCTTGCTCTATCCTCACTTTCAAAGGCTCCAAAGTCATCTTTTTGCATCTTCCACACCTGATAGGGGTATAAGTAATGCAATCCAACCCAAACATGTATAAATGATGTTCTAGATGACTAAAACTCACAAGAATGGATGCTCTAAACAGTGTAAATAAGTGAGATATCAAGCCGTAAAGAAACATTTTGAAATTAAAGATTTCATTGATAAGATATCTTTGTTGGTGAATGTGGTTGCAGATTTTTGTAAAAGAGAAAAAACAAGATGCGAGAAATTCAGCGGAATATAATTGAAAAAGAATAAGCAGTGCTGAAATCAAGACTGAAAAGGACTAAATCAGGAGTTTTCACTTCAAAGACCAGGAAGTATACGTTGGAGTTCTCATTATAAAACTTTGTTGCAGTTAGTTGAGATGTTCTCTTTTGTGGATGAGATGCTTGCGTACGTCGAGGATGAAGGTATTGATCTTACCCAACGAAGTCAAGCAAATGGTCTTATCAAATATATCCATACTTTTGATTGTATATTCTATCTATATTTGATGTTGCACATTTCAGGACTCATGGAGAAGTTTTCATTGGCCTTGCAGCGAAAAGATCAAGACATCCTAAATGCGGTCTCATTAGTAGAATTCACTAAGCGTCATCTACAAAAGTTCAGAGATGATGGCCGGGATTCTTTTGAGAATGATGTTGCAACCTTTTGTGAGAAACATGACACTGGTATTCTCTACATGGAAGATGATTTCATCGATCTAAGGAAGCCACGCAAAAAGACCAATATTACCAACTTGCATCATTATCACGTCAATTATTTTTATACATTATTGGATATGGAGCTTCAAAAGTTTAGTGGTCGTTTTAACGGGGTAAATTTTGAGTTGCTCATTTTGCACATCAGCTTTAAGTCCTACTTTTTTTTATTTTGTGATTTTGATAAAGAAAAGTTATTATGACTGGTTAAATTATATCCTGAGGATTTTAGTGTTATGGAGTGCATATCACTTAAGCATCAACTTGACATTTATAATTGATAATGTATGACAAGATGAAAGGTTTCTTGAAGTTAGCTTTGACTTTTCATGTTGCTACTGCAACCGTAGAGAGATGTTTTTCAGTAATGAAGATCCTCAAAACAATATTACGAAACCGCATCGGTAATCAGTTTCTAAATGATTGTCTTTATTTGTTTATTGAAAAAAATGTTTGAAGATGTAACCATGAAACTATTATAAAAAAATTCAAGCTATGAACGTAAAATATTTTTGGTGTAATACATTTATAGTTTTTAGTGATTTATGGATTATATTTTTTATTTTATTTTTTTATTCTGGTACAAAAAAATATTGGCTCTACCTCTAGTATCACACATTAATAGATTGTTTCCTCTTTTATGATGTGTCCATTTCATGTCCCGAGAAGCCCAGTGGAGCGAACTGTTGTGTTGATTCATAAGAGCATCATTATCCCAGCAATTGGTGAGTTGCTTATGGCATGGGCCCACCAAAGACACAAGCTTCGTCGCTTCCGCATGCAAAATAAGCACTGAGTTTTTTGTTGTTGTTTGTACTCTATTTGCGGGTTCCACCGACATGTGGCAACCCGCGATTGGTGTACTTTTTATTTTGTTTATTTTTTGCAGACAAAAAGAAAAAATAATAATAAAATTAAGCAACCTTTTATGGTTGTTGGGATAATATTGCTTTAAGACTACAAACTATAACACTCCCAAGTTGTCCCGTTAAACATTAGTCCCATTCTACTCTCCTTCATTATGATTGACCCAAGCTTTGACGGGCTTTTCATGAGGGGTATTATTTGATGAGCCTTTAGCCCAGTGTTGAAGCACAATTTAGATAACATAATCTTTTTCTTTTTGAACATACAACCATAGATTGAAATTTAAAAGCTCAGTCCCCCGGAGAGGAAAGAGACGAAGTACATATAACGCCACGACCGTCCATGGCTAATGGGCCACCCACGCCCGCTCTCTCAGCCCATGGGCCCCATCCCGCTACAGCGGCCGGTCCGTTAATTTTTCAAGGCTCTAGAGTCATGTTTACTGACCCTGCAATCACCATATGACATTTCCCCGTGCTTTGGCCTTACTTACACGGTATCGCTAATCACTTCCCCATAGGTCACCCATCCTTTGACTACTCCAGATTAAGCACGCTTAACTTTGGAATTCTCTCTGGATGTGCTCCCGAAAAGGTAAGTCCACTTTGGTGACATAGGTAGCCAAATCAATCATCTTAAACCTTTCCATATATCAAAACTCGGGATGTTACAATTCACTCCCTCTCAAAGAACGCAACATCCTCGTTGCGCACCACGAGAGGTCTCAAGACGCCTCTCAGGTCAGAACTGAGATTAAACCTTTCCATATATCAAAACTCGGGATGTTACAATTCACTCCCTCTCAAAGAACGCAACATCCTCGTTGCGCACCACGAGAGGTCTCAAGACGCCTCTCAGGTCAGAACTGAGATGGCTAACCAGCTCTGATACCACTTGTAACGCCCCGACCGCCCACTGCTAATGGGCCACCCACACCCGCGCTCTCGGCGTGTGACATCCCGAGTTGTGATATATGGAAAGGCTTAAGATGATTGATTTGACTACCTATATCACCAAAGTGCACTTACCTTTTCGGGAGCACATCCAAAGAGAACTCCAAAGTTAAGCGTGCTTAAGCTGGAGTAGTCAAATGATGGGTGATCTATCGGAAAGTGATTTGCGATACCGTGTAAGTGAGGCCAAAGCACGGGGAAAGGTCATGTGGTGATTGCAGGGTCAGTAAACATAATTCTAGAGCCTTGGAAAATTAACGAACCGGCTGTTCTAATGGGATGGGGTCCACGAACCGAGAGAACGGACATGGATGGCCTATTAGTCGTGGATGGTCGGGGTGTTACAGTACCATTACACAGTGCAGTCTTAGGTAGATAACAGAATCTATCATGTCATCTTCCTACCAACGCTTTGTACTGTTTTTATTAGGAAACAATAACACTAGAGAATACTCAAGTAGAGTTATTTAAATGTTTCATTTTGTTTGTATAGAGATGGTACAACGAATAGAGGTGAGTAAAACATAAGTCACACTTACCAAAACGTGTCTTTGACCTACGAATACGACCTCCCTTTTCCATGTCAGACTTAATATTAGTATTCTACAACATTCGTTGGCACGTGAAAATTGTGTTGTTCCTAATAGTTTATCTTTAAAGGGAAATGATTAAATTTTTAAATCCGGGGAGCTTATGCTTTATTCCTTCACATAATTAATTACAAAGTAAATTCCATACCTGAGAAAATCTTGAATAGACCCGTCGTTGTTTTAACGAATCTTAGTTAGTTTCTATTACTTTTGCTGACTTCAAATGTTATCTTGCGCGTTGTAAATTTCTAATATATTACATAACCTATTTTTCTTTTATGTAATGTTGAATATTCAAAAGGTTAAGATTTGATATTGACAAGTAAAAGACTAAAAGATGATCGAGTAAAATAATATTATTTCATTTACATATACAAGATCAAATAGAAAGATAAAAAGAGAAATAAAAAATTTACAACATAGTCAAAAATTACTACTTCATTTACATATACAAGATAAAAGAGAAAGGATAAAAAGATAAATAACAATTTTACAACATAGTTAAAAACACTTTTAAAAAGAGAAATTGTTGTACTCTTGCTACATTAATATCTTAATGCACCAAATTTTAAGCAAAAAGAAAACATAGTTAAATCATTTTCTTATGATTTATTGTTTTGTTATAATTCGGGATCCTAGTAATCAATGAACATTAGTATTAAACAAACAAACAAAAACCCACGAGCAAGATGATCGTTATAAAAATGATTATTGATACAAAAAGAAAAGAAAAAGTGTTGCAAAAGACAAAAGACTAAAAGTCAAAACAAAATCAAATAACTAAAAAATCTCGCCACGTTCTCTTTAAATAACGAGGGGAAAAACGAAGCTTCTGAGAGCTTAAACCTCTCTCTATATCCTAAAGGTACAACGTTCACTCTCAAAGAACCTTCCATGGACCTTCCCAAGCTCTCATAGATCCGAACCTTTATAAATCTTCTCCGCAACTGTGTTTTCCACTTCATTCTTCAGCTTTCACTCTCTAAAACCTTCTCTCTGACTCAGAAGCATTTCAAGTCCATTAATCATATTATCAAATGTCAGGTTTTGATTACAGCGACAGTTTAAGCTCATCTGATTCCGTTAATAACGGCGTTAACACACCGGTTTTCTACCGGAACCCGAGTTTCAGCAACGTTATATTAAACGACAGCTGGAGCGATCTGCCGTTAAGCGTCGACGATTCGCAAGACATGGCTATCTACAACACTCTCCGCGACGCCTTCAGCTCCGGATGGACCCCCACCGTCCCTCCCGTCGTCTCATCTCCCGTGGCTGTGGAGGAAGAGAAGCCGGCGACGGCGGCGAGTGGATCACACGCGCCGAGGCAGAAGGGAATGCAGTACAGGGGAGTGAGGAGGAGGCCGTGGGGGAAATACGCGGCGGAGATCAGAGATCCGAAGAAGAACGGAGCTAGAGTTTGGCTCGGGACTTACGAGACGCCGGAGGACGCGGCGGTGGCTTACGACCGAGCGGCGTTTCAGCTCAAGGGAGCGAAGGCTAAGCTGAATTTTCCGCATTTGATTGGGACTTGTAAGTACGAGCCGGTTAGGATCAGGCCTCGCCGTCGCTCGCCGGAGCCGTCTGTTTCGGATTACTCGTCGCCGGAGCAGAAGAGTGTAGGACACGTGGAGGAGGGAGAGTCTAGATTCGTAGTTCCCGAGTTTGATTTCACGGTGGATCAGTTATATTCGGGTGGTAGTTATTTTACGGATCAAACGTCATATTCCTATTTCTGATAATGGTTAATGATTTTAATCAAATAAAGATTATCACTAATTTGTGTGTTAGAGTGCTTTTGTTGATGGATGATACGATTTGATCATATGTATTATGTAATGTGATGGAAAATCAATATGGACTTTTTTGTTTGTTTTCTTTTCCTAATTCGATGCTACAGTAAATGTATAATCATTAATTTTGTTTTTATCTCGGCCCATTAATCACTAAATTAAGCTTTACAAGTTACAACAATAACAATTTTGGTATTTAATTGGAGAGGATTGAGAATTATGGGATTTCAAACAATTACAAAATTAATATATTTATGGTTACAAAATATACATATTAAACCACAAAAATTTTAGAAACTTAAAATATTTTTTTTTATCAAAGAAACTTGAAATCCTTTATATACTAAAATGCAAATCGTTTGACTAATCAAAATCTTACACCTGGCATTTGTTTTATAAATTAAAAAAAAATTATAAGAGAAAAAAGTCTAAATTCAAAAATGAAAAACAGTTTGGTGCAACTCCATCTTTCCCCACTATCTCCATAACTATTTGTATTTTCATCATCGTGTTGTCCATGCGAAACTATATATCTATCTCCCTAACCAAAACTCTTAAAGATGTGTTAGTTTACATTGGATCCCTACTGGTATATCTTTTTTTTTTGTTTGTTTTATTAGTTTTGATTATTACAAACTTTTTGCCTAAATAACTTAATAATACAATCCAGCGTTAAAAAAAATAAACCAAAACTCTTTATTTTTGGAAACCAGCATCACCGATCAATAACCAGCAAATGTTCATAAAATTTTCTGGGTTTATTTAGTTGATCATTCTGTCAATCTTACAAAAAAAGTGTTGAAGTTAATTACGAAAAGATACTTTATACTTTGCGGTAAGTAATGTTTTTACTCTTTACTATTTAACTAGAGATTTTTCCCGGGCTACGCCCGGGTTTTTTCCTTATATTTTAATTTTGTTTACTTTATTATAGAATATATTTAACTACTTATTCTATGCTTAAACTAAATTATCTATATAACTATTATTTTTAAAAAAAAATTGTATTATTTTTGGTGACTAAAATTAGAAAATTATTAAAATTCATTTTTTAAATATCAAAATACATATAAATTGGTAATAAACTGAACAAAAAGTTTTTTTTTTCAAATTCAATTATTTTTTAACTTGTTTATTTGAATTTTATGAAAATGTGGTTAAATTAACATTTAATTCAAATATTTTTAACGTTAATATCAACAATATATATATATATATATTTAAAATTTAATATTTATAATTTATTATTTATTATTTGGTGATAATAAACTATATATGACTTCGCTCTTAAGTGTTAAGGCAGTGAAGAAATGAAGAATAATTAAAATATAAAAGTGATGTACTTAAAAAGAATCTTGAAATTATTTCAAATACTTTTGTTTCTATTAATCAAAAAAAGAGTATGAAGGTACCCTTAAATTGTATAATTTTTAGTTAAATTAAAATATTTTACACTTCTATAAGAACATGAATTGTGTATGTTTATAACCATCAACTTTAAACTATTAAATTGGTAGAAGATTTTAAAAATTGTATGTATGTATTCATTGTCTTGTGTCTAACATATTCAAAAATAATTTAAACTCACAGTTTGTTATTTTTTATTACTGGAAATCATATATAGAATAGTAAGTAAGATGAGTGAAAACTAACTTATCATTGTTCAAACCAAACCAAACTAAAGAACAAAATTTTAAACAAACCATTATCAAAATTTGATTTTTAAATCATATAAACCAAATGACTCTGTTTTATTTTTGTTTTTTGTTTTTGTATTTGAACACCGCCAAATGACTCTTTAAATTAAGAATCTCGACCTCGTCTAAGGGACCTAATTAGTCTTTCCCTTATGTTGGTTTGCAGCTTTAAAGACTTTTTGTCATAATAACTCTATGTGACTGGATTAATATGTGATTTTGGAGCTGAATTTGATTAATAGATCTGAGGAAGTTGCAGGCCAAAAAAAACTTAGACATACAATTGCACATGCTATTAAGTTGTTAACAGTCAGCGATAGACCAAGTTGTTTGTAGCCTTAATACAGAGAACACCGTTTTTAAGTTACAATCCTAAATCAATTAGGATGATTTGAAAATNACTGGATTAATATGTGATTTTGGAGCTGAATTTGATTAATAGATCTGAGGAAGTTGCAGGCCAAAAAAAACTTAGACATACAATTGCACATGCTATTAAGTTGTTAACAGTCAGCGATAGACCAAGTTGTTTGTAGCCTTAATACAGAGAACACCGTTTTTAAGTTACAATCCTAAATCAATTAGGATGATTTGAAAATGAAAACAAATATTCTCTCACAACATATAATCGCTTGGTATGTTAGAATGTTTTTAATATATACATTATTTAGACATTGTTTGTGAACATAAATTAATTTTTAAACCTCAATCAATGTGTTCAAAAAAGCTCAATAGATATATTGTTATTAAATAATATTTAAATCATTCATTGACTGAAAACATTAGAAAGCATTCCAGGAATTCAGGTTATCGAGCTTTCCACATTTAGCAAGAAACTTAAATGAGTGCAAACTCATCAGAAAAGATAAAAAACAGTCACCCCTTTGTATTGTATTCTATGAACCAAACATGTCAAAGATATTGTAGCTAAAGATTCATAAAGATATAAAACTTTCAGTCTCATAATTCATCCTTGGTCGCATCATTCTTGTTATCACCATCACTATCTTCACCATCCTTGCTTTGCTTAAGCTTGTCGACAACATCATCAAGAGGAGGATCTCCAGGTCTTCTCGTTGAAAGTTCCAGCATACCTGCAGCGGTCGGATTTATCACGTGCTTTATATGCAGGCCAATGGCGTCCAATGTTCTGAAAATTTATCCAAACTTGACCTTTCCCCATTGTGTTCATGTCCAAATCCAACGGTTCATTACCTGCTGGTGTATCAAAAGTAGACTGCAAAGCAAAGAGAGAGTTGAATATATGATCTAGCTTTGTTTGTATGCATGATCTCTCTGTGTCTCTTACCTTGTACCAGGTCAAGGGTTGTTTCTTGTCCACCAAGGATCCTTCTTTCCATTCCACGGTGGAGCTACCAGTTACTGTATGAATGCTCAGAGCTTCACCCTTGCTACCAATCTGCTTGAATCACACAAAGAAAACACATTGTTATTATTGTTGGTAAGATGCAGAAGCCTCAAAGTCAAGTTGTTTGCTCTTGAATTTCCAGAGTTCCAGAGTCCCCTGTTCCAGAGTAAACTCCCTCCAATGTTACTGGACCAAGAACACCAGTACTCCTAGTCTCATAATGCAAGCCAACGTTCTGTGAGCAATACATGACGGCCACGCTCAGATTGTAATCAGACAAAAAGAGCAGAGAGGAACTATATAACTCATCAAGAGAACTAACCGGGAGACCCACTGCTATACTTAACAGAGCAAGTTTGTTGACTCCTGCAGCTAACTTGATCTTTTGACTAAATGCTAGCTTTGGGTTCGCCATGTTTCCGTAAGCAGTTCGTGAAACATTATTTTTCTTATAACAGAAGACAAAGATAAGCTACCATGAGGATGTGTTTGGCCTATCTGAATCTTACCTGCAAGCTGGCCATTAACAAATACACTAAGAGCATGCCCAGCTGACTCAATATAACTACAACAGCACAAGTTCTGGTTACATCACAACACAAAAATTACATTTAAAAAAAAGTAATAAACAAAGCAAACCTGTAAATGAGGCGCCACGGTGCCGAGAGTGAGCTTAGAAAATGTCAACGGCAGGTGTATATTGCTCGAGAACAGGCTCCATTGATGCCCTTATAAGCTCCGAAACTTCCTAAACAAATGGAAACGAAACATTGATTACATCTCTCTCAATTCAATGATCTTGACAAAAAATCAAAGGGAAGCTAACATACCTCGTCGACACAAGGCCAGATCTTTGTCAAGTGATGTTTCAGCAAGTCAACTGAAGTACACAAAACGACAAATCAACTGAGATCAGTAATGCTGAGTTAGCAAAGTGAAAGCAGAGTGATGAGAGACGGGCATATATACATCAGCTCCACCGACCAGCTCGGTTCTGGTGTCACAAGTCTTTCTTAAAGTGAAGAAAGCTTCTGTCCACAAACCTCAAACCTTGCAGTTAGCTTCATTACAGAATCAGCTAAAGGTATATTGTGAAGAACAGCTCCAAAGATCCTTCTGCATTTATCCCACAAAAGGATCATATTCAAGTTACAGTCGAACAATAATTGTCAAATCACATCTTTTTGAAACAGAATCAAGCACCTTAAATAGTCACCATCACGACCTGCAACAATAGTTTTGCCATCATCATCAGCGACTTTGCAGCAAAACTCATAAAGATCTCCAAAGAACTGAGTTTCCACAATGCCAATTACATCAAGCTGACAATCATTTCAAGAGAAAAAAAAAACACAAACTTTCAATATATATCATTGCAAAATAAGACCGAAACATATAGCAACCGTAGACTTTACCTTGGCATAACCATCTTGTCCGAATATGTCTGGAAACAACATAAGATCCGGAAGAGCCCAGCAAGGGAATCCAATTCCATCATGCGTCACCATTGAATATTTAGCGTATCTCGTATCTTTACTCGATTTCACCATGGCAACACTTATACACAACCAAAAAAGGAAAGAACTTTACAAACTAAGATCACTGAATCTGTTGAAAACGGTGATAGTTGTTTTACTTTCAGACGCTGATCTCCTACTTGATACGGCGGAATAGAGAGGTCGATTTCCCAGAAAACATAGGATCCATGAAAACATTAATAGCACCAGACCCACGATGTTCTTGATCGGAGATGAAGTATACGCATCAGAAAGTAGCACATAGGCTGCAGAACAAACACGGTGGCTCCGACGATGGCTCGGGAGTTCTGGTGGCTCGGTCGGTTGATGGTGGTGGTTCTCTGTTGGAGGACGCAGAGACTCTGCCGGAAGCCGCAAGATAGACATCGGGACTCTAGGGCTTGTCTCCGACGGCTGTGAGGGAGCTTGCTGGCGGTGATTTGGTTTTCGAGAGGCGGTTCTCGCAGATCTGCTACCCCATCGGTGATGATTCTCCTCTTGGACCGGAGCTTTGGTGGTGCGCGTGATAAATCTGAAACGAAACCATGAAGAACAAATTTATTGATTGAGATGTAGCGGAGTCTTGATTGTTCAAAGGTGGATCGATATAACTCAATAGCTATCCTTTCAAGCGGAGAAGATGAACCAAACCAATCGTAACACTTAAGCAAGATGACGTGGCAATATAGAGCTTTCTAATTGGTCGATTATATTTGCATACGTGGACAGCTTCTCTGGCTCTCATATCGCCCTTTTAATATAGTTAGATNATGTAGCGGAGTCTTGATTGTTCAAAGGTGGATCGATATAACTCAATAGCTATCCTTTCAAGCGGAGAAGATGAACCAAACCAATCGTAACACTTAAGCAAGATGACGTGGCAATATAGAGCTTTCTAATTGGTCGATTATATTTGCATACGTGGACAGCTTCTCTGGCTCTCATATCGCCCTTTTAATATAGTTAGATTGTGGTTATATATAATTATATTAATCTCTCTTCCAAAACTCACATATAAAATAGAACAGTACTAAGATGACTACTTCACCAGTTTGAACATTGTTCTCCAACCAGAAGTTTGTTATTGTCGTTACTTATTTCCTTTTTTATTTTATTTGGGATAAAAAAAGTCACTGCATTAGGAAAAAAAAAATCCCTATGCATAGTTTGGGTAAAAGTTTACCAAAGTGTAGATAAGGAAGCTAATAAGTTCAACGTGTACAGAGAAATCTACTCTATTAAAATAGAGTCATTCTTTTTATCTACTGATACAAGTTGTCATTTAAATTTGGACTCTTTCTAGATAGTTACAAATAATATAAGTCATATAATTGATTAAACTGTATTATTTAAATTAAACCAACAAAATTAATGTAAAAAGACGATCTTAATGTAAACTACCTTCAAAATACGGCAATCTATGTGTATACCAAAAACATATATTTTCTCCTACAAATATGGAATGTTCTAAAAGAATATATATCATCAAAATATGGAATACGGAAATCTACTAATTATACTTAAATTAAACCAGTGGTTATTTATGGAATATAGTTTTGGGTTTACTTTTAATTTTTGAACAAATTATATAGTTTGGTTTTTGCGCTTAGTATTAAGAAAAAACTTCAAAAACATTCAATAAACTTTTCACCTTAAAAGATCAAAAAATCAATTATTTTTTTCAGACCCAAAAGGTATTTTATATTTATAACTAAACAAAATTATCCATTATTAATCATTTATTTAAATCATGTACTTTAAAACATGTTAATATATATTTTTATTTTAAATAACAATCACTTTGTTTTGATAAATTTCAATGGTAACTTTTAAATAATTTATTGTTATATTTTTCTTAAATAATTTATTGATTAAAAAAATGTAAAGCAAAACCAAAAACCAAATCTAAAAACTAAAATCCAAAACCAAAAGCTGAAAACACATATTATATTTTTTTTTCTTTGTTTATTTACAAAACAAACTATTTCAATTTTTTTTAAAAAAAATTGTTTTCATCTTTTCAGTTTTAAATTAGATGTTCGATTATTTGAGATTTGTTTGTTGGTAATATTTGTTCAAACTAACTTAGCGGGTTTAAAAATTAAAAACCCAAACCAAAAACTGAAAATGAAAAGTAGAAACTTAAAAACTAAAAACCAAAATCTAAAATCTAAAAATAAAAACTGAAACTAAAAACTAATGAAAAACAATCATCACCACAAATTTTGGTGAACTGATTTTATATCAAAATATTATTTAAATTATGACAAAACTCAATTATATAAAATTTTAATCATAAAAAATTTCCGCGCTTTTAAGCGCGGGTCAAAATCTAGTAGCAATTAAAACCAAGTATATGTATTCAATTATTTTTCATTCTACAGAAAAGAGGGAGGCAAATATCATATGATTAAAATTGGTTTAACAAGTTAATATATTATTTTATTTTATTCAAGAAATTTAATATATCATATAAAAATTAATTTACATTTTCTTGCAACTTATGCAAGAATGTTTTTCCTATTATCGAAATATAAATTCAGAATTTCTTCATGAATTTTTTTTATCTTTTAAAAAGTTCAACTTTTTCTACTTACACAAATATATCCTTTTTCTCAAAATCGACTATTTTCTCACTTTTATTCATAACTTTCATGTTTATTAATTTTTTTTTCAGAATCGATATTTTTATAATAAAAAATTGGTTTAAAATCAAACAAATATTTTCACATTTAAAATGCTATAGTATTTTGATTAAAAAAAAGAAGCTATAGTATTAAACATTACTCTGCTCATATACTAGTAAATTATATTTCGCTATTCCTGTCCATGAGTGATATGTGGAGCATGCAATAATATAGTTAGATTATCCACATTAAAAATATTAGAATATTTCGTATACGTATTTTTAAAAATTTAATATAGAATTAATCTAAAATAACACGTATAAAAATATTTCAGTCTCATTTCAAATTAAATATAAATATATATTGTGACTTATAATAATAATATTTTAGATTGTTGAGTTTGTCGGTTGATCAAACATACTTGACAGTTAAAACTTAAAAATTAATCAAATTATAAACTTGAAAACGTTAAATTCTCTCATGGCATTGCTATTTATTTATTCTCAGCACCTAATATTATATATTAATATTCAGAAAGATCCGGATTTTTTTTAAAGAATATTATTAGGTACATCAATGCAACACGAGCATAATTGTATAATCAATGTCATAAGATTTACAAACTGATTATAACCTTTTTTTTTGGTAATGCGCTAGCTTCGACGTCACACTCACTTATCCGTTATTTCGCATTGATCACAATAATCACGTTTTCTGCTGTAGTCATTTTAGTACAGTCCCTTGTTGTTACTTGACTTGCCCACCACTTGTTCGTCAATATTCCCCCACACGAGTCTCTTGTCAAAACCACATCTCTAACGCGCTAAACACGTTTCTTTTTCTTTTTTCTTTTTTTCTTTTTCAAGGAACCCAAGTCAGAGTTTTCTTGATCATGGAACGTTGGTCTAGCGTTTTGAAGATTCCCTTGAATGCTACCACTAGTAACCACTACAAAATTGCAGCTTCTCTCTGCCTATCTGTTCGTATCGCTTTCTTCTCTTTTACTCTGTTCCTTCTCCTCTGCTTTCTTTTAACTCATTGAAAGTTGCTTCCTTTTTGATCCAGGAAGTACCTTCTGCAAACGCGATATTCTTCCATGGAGACAGAGTTCGAGATACTGGGAATCATGTGATAGAGAGGCTTTATGATTTACAGACAGTTGCTGACATCATAGTTTCTAAATTTGGAAACTCTGTTAACGCTTGGGTTGTTGAGGCTTCTGTCTTTAACGGACCCTTTGCTATCTACAAGGACTTTGTTCCTTCAATGAACCGATACGGAGAGCCAACAACACCTTATTCTCCTATTGGCTTACCAGCTTCTTCATCCATTGTCTCTCTCTTATCCACTTTCCTTCAAGAGGTACTCTTTGATGCTATAAGCTAGAAACTCAATAATGAATACTAGCTAACCACACAAGCTTCGTGGTTGAGTGGTAAGGCGGGCTTGGAAAGGTGCTAAGCACCCGGGTTCGAAACATACCATCTCAGATATATTAGCTTGTGGCCATGCGAATACTAGCTTCTCTAGTTACTCATATTAACAGCCTGATTATCATATCAGGCAGAGAGCCTTGTTTTGAAGGAAGGTAGAGATGTGTGTTTGAGGAACTCGCTTGCACACTGTCCCAGCACCATTCTTCTTGGGTTTAGCAAGGGTGGAGTTGTGATGAACCAGTTTCTGAGTGAGATGAGTTCTTTGGAGACAAACTCTGCGGGTGAGCATGAAGAGATTGGCATCATTCCAGGCTCCAAAGAAAGCTTCCTCAACAGCATTTCTCAAGTCCATTACATCGATGTAGGGCTGAACTCCTCTGGTGCTTACATCACTGATCACAACGTCGTGCAGAGAATCTCCCAGCACCTTGCAGGAGGAGCAACCTCGGTACGCGTTTTCATTCATGGAACTCCCAGGCAGTGGCGTGATGAGCAGCGTGGCTGGATTCTCAAGGAGAAAGATGAGCTGGTTCGCTTGCTCATATCTGAGGGTGAGAACTCGTGTGGGAAACTACAAGTCCATGAAAGGTTCTATTTTGCTGACAGGGTTCCTGACCTGCAAATGCACTTTGAGATCATTGAGGCTATGGATGTCTCGTCTGCATGATCATTTCCCTGTCTCAAGGTTAATAAAGACGACTAATAAACTTATGATTTGTGAATCATCAGTGTAGACGGAAACGGATCAGTATGTTTTTGAAGGGAACCCATATTATCTTGTCTTGGTCAGAGCTTGTTTCAGTGTGTCATAAAGTTGCAAAATCTATCAAAAGTTCCTATACCTTATAATAAGGCATAGTATACATGTGACAAGGAGATGGAAACGATAAAGCATCTTGAGTGTTTGGTTTGCAAAGCTTTTATTAAACAGATCAGGCCGCATTTTAACGCTTGGTTCTTCTTCATAGATTGGGCTATTGGGCTTGTGTCTAATAAATATCAGTTTATTTGGCTTATTAAAACGATAGAGAGATACCGACGGCTAAAATTTTTTCTCCAATGATCGAAAGAATCAATTGCTCAGATATTCCTGTTCGAAAAAAAATATATGTGATACTCCTACCTTAAGCCGACCGAAATCAAAAATAGATTAATCTTTAATTAAATTATAAAAATTAAAAAACTACGGAACCAATAGAAATTTGCATAATTACAACCCAATCAAGATCATTTAACGGACCATCCAAACCCAATCCATAAAATTTGGATCTTTTTCTTCAGAACTTCCGAAAACTTTGTACGACTTGGTGGAATTGTATATCTTGGTGTAACTATACAGCGTATAAAATTTTGACTAATAGACTGTATCAATTACAAAGTTATTCTAAATTGAACAATTGCACTTTTTGATTTGCAAAGTTCGACTAGTTTTGATTGTGTCTTTTACATTTGCATTATGTTCTTTTATGTAAACAGTGTTATTAATGATATATTTATTGAATTCAAAATAAATAAAGATTATTTTATAGAGAAAAACTAAATATATTATATTATATTAAATATATTTTACATAAACTTACTAAAAATAGATAAGTACATGCTATAACTCATAAACACACAACTAATCTTCAATTGGCCAGTGGACAACGGTCAAGTGAATATCATTTCAGAAGTCCCAAGCTGCACATTGCCAGAAACAACAATAGCATTTCCACCGTATTCTAGATCCATCTAAAGAGACTACAAACACTGGTTCTATTACTGCGGAGCACCAACAATCATGTGAGACGTTGAGATCTATTCTTTCCAGTAGAGACATAAACACCTCAGATTTTTCGTAACCCCAATAGTCTGAGGATACTGAAGTCGTGATCATGTAATTCATCCGATCAACAAATTCACGACTAAAGTATAGGATAGTTGTGAACCAATCCTCTATCATCAACATTAAACGCTAAGTTCAGCATTCCATCTACATACTTGGCCAATAACAATCCTTTCTCACCAGCAAGATGGATTTTTCCCCTTCCTTCATCAAGTAAATGGAGGACGAAGAACTCATACATACCTGGCATGTAGATGGCCTCTAGATTACTGGATTGGTAGCACCTAAGCCTGAATGTTCTAACAACATTAGCCTCTGTGACACCTCCGATCTAGTCTAAGTACAAATTGACACGACCGGCCGTGCAACAATCAAACAAGAATATGCACGCCCAATCACTGGTAACTTAAACCAAACCAAAGAAGCCACAATGTGCACATAAACGATTAACCCAAAGTTCTCATAAAAAATCCAGGTACCTTAAGTCAAACGTCCAAGTACACATATCCTATTAGGTATGACATGAGGCTTCACAACCCAATCGAGTAATACCCAATAGTTGGTTTGTCCAGACAAGAACTAATATCATATAGAAACCGTACTTTGAAAAAACAATCTTTATACATTATATATTTATTCTTTCAAAAGAATCTTACATAAATGTTATTGGTCGACCTTGAAGTTATTGGAAAACAATCATTGTACATAAATTATCAAAAGACCAATGCAAGGATGACAAAACTACCACTAGCTAATGATGTTCCTTCCCGTCCCAGAGTATAGTCTCCCGTCTACTGGTAATCTGCATCACAGATGCGTCATGTGTAACTAGTTTACTCAGTGAGTCTAATCCCATACCCCAACACATATTAATAATATCTCGAGCAATGAACTCCATTTGTATGCAGTGGAAATATATTCCATAACTACTATAATGATAGGTAAGGCCAATCAATCAATCAATATGAATCTTATCTTAAACATCACTTCCACGTCACCCGCCAATCACTTCATACAAATACAATATATATACTAAACTTAAAACCACAAAGGCTAACCGAGCTTATTAAGTTAGCATTACCATCATCATCAAGTGATGTCGGCTCTATTCGAACCTCTGGCCTCTTGAGCAACCTCATTCAAGTTAAAGAGCTCTGAAGATCAGTATAATTATTCTCTTCTACCAATTTGTTTGAACCCGGAGAAAGCAACTCTTGCACTACCGAAGTTCCGGAGATGGCTTGTTGTTACTTTTGAGAAAATCTTATGAAGCATGGAAGGAGGGAAAAAATCCAAGTTAAAGTTCGACATGGAGAGATATTTGTTTAATCAAGTAAATGGAGAGTTTTTTTGTTTTATTTATTTGGACAAGGTGATAAACCATTTTATAATGGGGATGATCTTCTAACCGAAATACAAGTAGTAGAGAACTTCAACTAACGTGGAGACATAAGTATAAACTGAGTATTTATTACCCTACTTAAAGGTGATTTGATAGACACCTCGAGAACACAAGTAATTGGTGTTTTCAGATTGCTTATCTAAGGTGATCTGAATAATTCCGTGAACCTCGATTTAGCGAACATCTACCGTATCATTTCTTGTCACCTACGATCGGGGGTGTCACACCCATGCCTAGGTAAAATCATACATATAGAAAAACAGAAATATCCATAAAATATGTTTATTCATTAGTTATTATTAGGGATGTTAAAACGGGCTTCAAACACGCGGGCTTTAACGGGCTCTTTATAAATTTTCTGGCCCGTTACCCGTTTAGTTGTTTGTAAAATTTAACGGGCTCATCCCGGGTTACCCATTAAGCCCCGTTTATTAAACGGGCGTTAACTTATATTAATGGGTGCCCTCTTCAAGCTCTCTGTCGATGAAATTTAGAAAAGTTATATGAATCAAACTTGAGAAATCGAGAAAACTAGAAAAGGGTCTCTTCGTTTTCTTCATTAAGCTACGGGTAAGCTACTGATTTTGACATTTTTTCATCTTCTTCAAGAGCAATCTCTGAAACAACGCTTCTTCAGATTCGAAAGTAGAGAACGTTTTTGATTGGTTCCGAAGTTTAGTTGGTTTTCATAGCTTACTTACCGTTTGATTTGGTGATAACATCGCAGGTTTCAAGGCAAAACTTCAGGGTCACTTGATTTGATCTCAAAAACACACTTGCCGTACTCTTCAGAGTCACACGGGGAAGGTGAGTCTATCATATACTTTACTTAGTACGATATACAACTCTGAATTTATTTTTCATATCTACTATACTTTTGTTCTACTATACTTTTGTTCTTATATGTTTCTCTTTTGTACTTCTCACGTGGCCTTTTAGTGTAAAATAATGGCTGATGTTCAGTTGTAAAATAATACCATTTGTATTGATACTTATCCTTTTTTGTGTATTTTCAGCATGGATTTAGAGTCTCTTGAGACAATTGCAATCCTTGATGTTCAGAGGGAATACATGGACATGAATGAATAAGATGCTTTGAATGAAGAAAATTCAGTGAGGGAAGGAGAAACAGAAATGCAAGAACCAGAACAAAGTGACACACAAGCTACTGCTGCAACTCAAGCGACACAACCACGTAAGAGACGTCTAACTTCTAAAGTTTGGAAGGATTTTACATCAGTGGGGGTTGAAAGTGATGGCAAGGAAAGAGGTCAGTGTAACCATTGTGGTAAAAAGCTAGTGATTAATACTAGAACACATGGAACAAATCACTTGAGTCGCCATTTAGATTCTTGTCCAGAAATGCCTAAACCAGTAGATAGGCCTGCATATGATCATAAGATTGATAGGGAGATGACTAGCGAGATCATAATCTATCATGATTTGCCCTTAAGATATGCTGAGTATGAAAAGGTCAGAGCAAGGAATTTGTATCTTAATCCGGATTGTAAGCCAATTTGTAGGCAAACTGCTGTCTCTGATGTCTTTAGAAGGTATTTAATAGAAAAGGAAAAAACTTAGGAATGTGTTTGCAAAACATCAGGGTCGAGTTTGCTTTACTGCAGATTTGTGGGTAGCTCGTCCCACTACCATGGGTTATCTCTGTCTGACTGCTTCTTTCATTGATGATGACTGGAAATTGCACAATAAGGTTTTAGCCTTCTGCGTTCTGGAGTGTCCACACACTGGTGAAAAAATTGCTGGCACAATTATTGAGTGTTTGAAGGATTGGGGTTTGGAGAAAAAGGTATTTTGTTTCACTCTAGATAACGCTACCAACAATGATAGTATGCTGAGAATACTTAAAGGGAAACTTCAGATGATGAGTGGCAGTGGTTTGTTATGTGATGGGAAGTTTATGCATGTGCGATGCTGTGCTCACATCTTGAATCTGATAGTGAAAGACGGTTTAGAGTTAGCAAAGGATCTCTTACATGACATTAGAGAAAGTGTCAGATATGTAAAGGCATCTCAACAAAGAATAAAGTCTTTTGCAGCTTGTGTTGAGAGAGTTGGGATCACGGATGGAGCAGGTCTATCCCTTCATGTGACGACAAGATGGAACTCTACATACCAGATGCTAGTCCGTGCATTGAAGTTCAGATCATCTTTTGAAAGCATGGCGACTTTTGACACACATTATAAGTCGTTGCCTTCACAGGCTGACTGGAACCGAGGGGCTAAGATATGCGAGCTGTTGAAGCCTTTTAGTGTCATTACGACATACTTTTCAGGTTCACAGTATCCTACATCAAATGTTTATTTCATAGAGGTGTGGAGGATAGAAAGATTGTTGAATAAATATGCTCACTGTAATGATGATGGGATAAGAAATATGATTCAGCCAATGCAAGTCAAGTTTGAGAAGTACTGGAAGGACTATAATATGATTCTCGCCATGGGAGCTGTGTTAGATCCAAGAATGAAAATTGAGATTCTTGAAAAAGCTTATGAAACTTTGGATCCTACTACTTCTGCTTTAAAGATCGCAGTACTTAAGGAAAACTTAGAGAGTCTCTACAAAGAATACCAACTGAGAAAATGGGCAGGCTCATCAGGTTCTTCAGCTTCACAAACTCCATATGAGATTGTCAATGAATCTCCACTTGAAGAAGAATATGACAATGTAAGTAAATGTTTCATACTAATATGAATCTTCATTGTATAGGATCTTTTTGAGTTAGAAAGAAGCATTGCAGCTGGTGACAACCCAAAGACACAACTAGATATTTATTTAGAGGAGCCAAGAGTAAACAGAAAAAATTATCCAAACTTGGATGTGTTAGGCTTTTGGAAAGAAAATCATCATCGACTGAGTGATTTAGCCAACATGGCGAGAGATTTGCTTACCATCCCTCTTACTACAGTCGCCTCTGAGTCGGCCTTTAGTATTGGAGGTAGAATTTTGACTCCATACTGAAACCGGCTTCTTCCAACACATGTTCAGGCTTTGCTTTGTGCTCGCAATTGGCTTAGAGGATTTGCAGAATTTGAAGGTAGTTTTAAAATTTTACACAAACAGATTTATAGTTAAATGATTCTTGGATTAACTTACTTTTTAATTATAGGTACCATCCAAGATACGGATGAGATTGCCACTGAAGACGTCAGAAAAACAGTGAGCAGCTCAGGAGTAGAAAGTTCAAGGTCAGGAGAATTAGCATGAGTGGGACAGTGAAGAGGTAACCTTGAAGTGAGTTTGATTGAGACTTATTTGTGTTTGTGGTCTTGACTGTAAAAGAAAATGGTAATTACTCAATTTTTTTTTGTGCCCTTGATACTCTTTACGTAATGGGTCAGTATTATAATGGTGTAACATTGTAATGAATCACATTTAGCTCAGTGTTCAAATAAAGTAGGTATAATAGTTTTATGTGTTAAACACTTTTCGTTTCTTTTCTTTGCAGAGCAATAGATGGTTGGTTTGAGACTAAAAGAGGAGGATGAAATTGGTTTCTATCTTGTTTATCCATAGTTATTTCTCTATGGTTTGCAGTTTTTTATTTTTATTTCAGACACAAGTTGATGGCATAACTGTTTTGTTATTTCAATGTATGAGTTTGTTGGTTTGTTCGGGAACAGATATTGTCGGATTTAAAAAAGATTTAAAACATATTCATTACATGTTATTCTCAAATTCCTTAAGCTTACATGAATGTGAATACATGAAAGTCTAAACACAATATAAGGAGTGCATGCATGTATACATAATACGTCTTAAACTTAGAAGTTAAAATACATATGAAGAAATTTAATAAATATTAAAACTGATAAATATAAGCACTAAG